TTAAGTCACATGTAATTAATGTTTCTCTGTTGCACTCTGTCTCTTTCCTCGCAGCATTTCAGCAGCGTGAATCATCTTAATGAATCGAGGCAACAGAAGCATGGACTGCATAAATTGACACCAGAGTGGTGTGCCCAATATCACCCTGCCCCCGTGGGAGCTGGGAGGATGAGTGTGTGCTATTTTCCATTTTTAATATTTGCACACATTTTTTTATCCTGAAAATAACAATCCCCAGTTTGTGCGCACACATTCGGGAATGACAGGGAAGAAACTGTTACCTAGTTGTTTGGAAGGTGATTCCCAGCAGAGTGCTTGAAAAGTTTTAATCGCAATTGCGCCAGAATATTCAATTATCAACAATATCACTATTTTCAAGAGGTTTACACGTGTTGTAAAGTAATATTCCTGATCCAAATGATCAACATTTGCTCCAGGACAAGATAAAGCAGTCTCCAGTGATTTATTTAATGAAAAACTAGCTACTCTTCATCAACATGTATATCGAACTCCACGGGAAATGTAATGTTAATAAATCTAATAATTAGCCTTTTAACTCTTAAAAAGTGAACATTTCGGTTGCATATGCTATATTCAGCCCTGCTGACAGGGGAAACCAGGAGGTAAAAAAATTAATAGCATCTCTTGAGATGTCCCCTCACCACAACAAGCTGGAGTTCTTTAGTGGTTAGCGTCTGAATATGACAGCAGTGAACTGCCTTACAACTTGAGCCAAGAACACATTCACACTTCAAATCTTACAAAATCAGGATCTATGCCTCTCCTCTCTCTTTCCCACAGTCCGCACTCTCTCCTTTTGAAGACAAGACATCACCCGCTCTTTCAGCCTTCAACACATCTTTCCGGTCACTGCATCACATCGCTTGCCTCACTTGTTTGACCTGTCAATCTAGATAGGTGTTTTGGCAACACTCCTGATGCTAGCCGTATAGATCCCCCTCCTGGGATAGGGGACAAGACTAAAACTGTTCAATTAAAAGACAATACCAAACACATTAAACAACTCTGCAAATAACCTGCAAGACGTGAATATTTATGATGAAAAGTGACAATTTAATATATTTCAAAATATATTTCGGCATTTAAGCCGTCCAAGTAAGCGCACACACATTAGGAGCAAAAATGATTGTTATGAAAATAAAATTAGATTGAGAACAGCATTTGATTTATAACGGGTTTACTATTTTTAAATAGGCTAGTTAAATGACTTGTATGTGATCAAAATGCAAGAAAATGTGTGTTTTTTTTGTTACGCAGCACATGGCACCTTTACAGACTCTGAGAGCTTTGTATAGCCTGCCTCATTACAGGAGGAATGGGGTGAGAGGTGTTCTGTTGGCTTTTTGAAGCAACCAGGAAAGAGAAAGAGAAAACTAATTTACACTCCTCCACAGCTTGAGGATTCCTTTCTTTTTGGGGAGAGTGAGGGCAACGAGGTGGGATGGTGGCGTGATCTAAACTACCAACCCTTTGCACTTGGATAGGACGCTTCCTATATGATCGGTCCATTTTATTTGTAAATTAGTTCATTTCTAGTTAATTGCTGTTAACACAAGAGGAACGAGTGGCTTAAGAGGGCTTGACCTATGGGGGTAAAGGCTGGCCCGATGAATGTGTGACGTTTTCCTTACCTGCATTGTCTAGGTCAGAAGGGGTGGGAAGGGCAGACGGGAGCTTTGTTGGCTTTGTGCGAGTGAGAGGGACCCTGTCATTCAGGGCCACGGAGCAGCCAAGGTCTGAGCCCATCCACCCCGACTATGGAAGAAAAGGACAGAGAGAGCTGAGGATGGATCTACTCCAATGAGCGCACACACTTCCCTCAAGGAGGCAGTTTCTCCCCCCCCCCCCCAATGGCTTGAGGGCACTAGTCCTATCTATGGCTCACACTTTTCAATTCCTTCTGTGCTCATTAAAAAAAAGTGATGGCAAATCCCACAAATCCCTTCTTTAGGCATGTGATAGAATGGGCCGCTCTCTCTCCAATACTAAGAACTTAAATATATACATATAAAGGAGGCTAAAGATTCTCGAAAATAAATACATACTACATACCAAACAGTTATCATACTTTTAAAGCCTAATTTTTGCTCTATTTATATTTGTTAGCTATATTTATCTAAACTTTGGCGTTCCAACAAGGCTTTGTATGTACTCTGACAAAGACCAAAGACCTAAAATAATCGCCATATCTGTGGGGGAACATCAGTGTGTCTTTCCACATACTGTGAGCGGCAGAGAGTGACACAACCTTCTCAGACATCACAAATCAGCACAATGAACACTGCACAGGTAAGATGTTGTACCCTCAGGAGAACATAACTGACGGCTCATTATAATTGTCCCAGTAGAGAGTCAAAGCCTTATTCCCTCAGGCCTCACAGAGAAATACAGTATCTGATCAGAAGAGAGCACCTGTCCTCTTTATCCTCAGAGAGTATTGCCCACAAAGCGGCGTTTTATGTTTAAGTGTCATTGTATATATGCTTAAAAGCTTGTATTTGCTGGAAATCTAGAAGGGGTTGCCATGCAATAGTTCAATATTTTTAAGATGCGTTTTACCTAGAAAAGATGACAGCAAAAAGACACCAAAAGGAAATGCAAATGATCTTGAAAGTGCATTATGTGTTTTTGAATTGCTTCAAAGCACAGCCAATAAGTGCATGCAAACTACGAGCTGTGGCAAAACACCTCACATTTAGTATTATAAAGATTAAGGGATTGTTCGCACCCATCATGTTATCTTAGTTTTTGTTTTGAAAAGGGAAATGGTTTCACAGCTAAGGCTGGATTCATAGCAGTCCAGATTACCGGCTTGAAATATAAACAAAAAATTTCTTTTAAGTATTACTACAGTGTCCAACTGTTTGTGTTGAATACGTCTTAGTACAATTCAGTTTTCAGATAAAACACTGCTTCTTCAAGGTACACACACTCTTGGCGGCACTAATCTTTAGCACCTGCCTTGGCACCATCAACTGAAACAACTTGACCCCAGAACTGGCACAGGCACAGTCAATAAGTATAAGTGGCACCTCTATGGGGCCAAACAAGCCACTAATTGAACAGCACCTCTGCGAAATGAAATACCTAAATTGGTATGATTTAAAAAAATAACAGAAATATTTTGGTCTGGAGTTGGACACATGGGATCTAAAGCAATGCAGCATTTACTGCTGCACTAAACACAAACAGAATCTATCTGAAAACACAGAGAAGTTTCCTGATGATGGGTATGTGGGTTATGAATGGCTCCTATAACCTCCAATGGTTCCTATAATGATAGTGCCCATGCTGTTCCTGGTAGTTGGTAGTGTTCCTGGTAGTGACAACAAACACTAACAAACTGTTTTTTTTTTTATATGCATTAAAAAAGATTATGTGTGTTTTAGTAAGTGGCAATTTACTAAATATTTCTTTACCTCCAAAATGTAAGAAATCAAACATTTTTACCAAATGAAAAAAAAAGAAACAAAACATTAAACTAGAAGATTAGGGTCAAAAATACAACTAAAAGTCACATTTATTAAAGTTTTCTCTCAATAAACCTCAATGTGAGTTGTGCACAATTCAGAAATATTGGAGAATTGATTTCGGGATTTTTAAATCCAATTCCTAGATTTGATTTCTACGGAGCCCCGCACAAGACCAGTCCGTTCTCATCCCAAGGCATCATCTAACTGATTGCCGACGCACATGGTAGCCCTTAAGCGTCAATATGAGACGCGCCTCCTAGTGGTCTAACCCTAACCCTACCCCAGACCTAAACCTACCCATAACGGAAGCGTCATCTAACTGACGCTAAAGGGTGCCATGTGCGTCGGATTTAGACGCATGGTCAAAAGCGTCAGGCCCAAGGATGAGCGTCTCACATTGACGCTTAAGGGGTACCATGTGTGTCGGCATGTTGATGCATGGTCAAAAGTGTCAGTTAGATGACGCCTTGGGATGAGAATGTGTTGCAGCGACATGCAAGATGCAACATTTTTGTGCTCAAATTGTGTGCATGATTTACTAATTTGTTCGCTCTATTTATAAATCGTGTGCACGATATAGCAAATCAAGGGAACGGAATAGTAAATCGCATGATTTATAAATCGAGGGAACGAAATAGTAAATAATGTGCACGATTTAGCCATTACCATTTGTTTCCTGCATGTCATGTGCGGGGATCCGTAGATTTCAGGAAGGCCTAACAAACAGAATACAAAATAAACGAAATAGGCTACATGTAATTTTTAACTAGAAAATGGAGGTCAGTCAAAATGGATTGACAAAGCCTTATCTATTTAAAGGGGTTGTATATCCCCTTGTCATTATCGTTAGAAAGTTTCGTTAGAAGCTGTGTTCACACATTGGCAATACAAAAAACAATTAATATATGAAAATTCTTAAAGCCCCTTCAATGTAATTTGACATTTGTACATAATTTTTCTTATACTAATTTACATTGAACACATTTACAGACCAAGTTGGAAGAAGCAGACTTCCCATTCAAATTGTAATTCAGCTTTCTGGGGGTGGTCCAATTCAGTTCACATTCAAACTCAGGTATATTGAAAGGGAGCCGATTCTTCACTTCTGAATTGTGCAAAATCCTGCAATATGCTTATTTAGTTGGATTTGTGTAGTTCACTCACTCTCTCTCACACACACACACACACACACACACACAGACAGTTTCAAGAAACATCATCATCTCTGCTTTTATCAAAAGGTTTCTGTGGCGATTCTCAACGGTACACTGTTTATAAGTTAAGCGGATCACTCAAACACTGATATTTGTTTCCTTATGTGGGTGGCATTTCAGAGGGTCGTATCAATACTGATCTTAAAGACAAGCAACCATTTAAAAGATTAGCTGAGAAAGAGACCTCAGAATAACCCCTGCTATTGAATGAAAATAAACACTATGAGATGGTGTGGATGGCGAGACAGCATCTCATTTGCAGCATGTTTAATTTGTCTAGGTGTGATGGAGAGGAGAAGAACTGGGCTGTTGGAAAAAGTATCGAAGGAGGAACGTAATTTTAGAGGCTAATGATCTTTGCCTTTACAAATGGGCGGGAGAGAGAGCGCTGAGTGAAACTGGATACACCTAGAATCACCCTTGAAAGGTACAACAGTCTTTGTCCCCCCCCCCCCCCCCCCAAAAAAAAAGACAAGATGGCAGTCAGCAGGGGCCATTTCTCCGACATGGCCATAGGCACTCATGTTGTCATGACAGTGCTTGCAGAGAACACTGGGATTTATTCTAGATCTATGGTATAGAAGCCACCATACTGATCTAACTAGTAGGCATAACACTTTTGACAATGCAATCTGTATGAAATTCTTTGAGGGAGTGTCACAAATCTATAATAATGCTGTCAATTTAAACACCTTACATTTACTCGTCAACAATCAGTAAAAAATATTATTAGCTGTGGCATTGTAATAATTGATGCCAAAAGATTTCCTCTCGGCAGAGGCGCAGCTACGATTCATCAGTTTTCTTATCACGTCTGGCTAGTTTGGTGGGTGCGTGTGTTTTAAAACATAGTCTGTTTCTTTCCCAACTTGAGGCAAATTGTGTTTTAACACATCAGGGAGTTGTCACAGGGTAAATGCTATGTGCATATTCTAATGTGCACATTTCCTCCTCACATTCTTTTTGTAGTATTCAACTCATGTCAGTCACTGTGGCTTTTTACCGAGGAGATGCTGAGCAGTGGTTTCCATCACCATGGAAACTTTGCATGCTCTGTGCCATGAGAAAATCCATTTAAGGTTCAGATTAATTGAAAAAATGTCCGTGAGTGTTTGATGAATGCCATGCACCCTGGCGAAAACCACAGCGCTAGCACTGATAGTACATCACTGTTAGAAGCAGCTTACATGTTTTGTCTTCCTGTTTGATCTCATTTAAAAAGAACATCACATCTTTCCACTTTCATATTTAAAACAAGAAAGTAAACCTTTATGTTGGCTTGACAAAGCCTTGCCTGAAAGTTTGAAAGTTTTATAAGCAACCTCTATGCAGTAACCTTTTCCTCTGGGATATCAGTCAATAGTCAATTACATGTAACTAACCCAAAACCAAACCAAACCAAACCCTAATCCTAACCATAAGTACATGTAGTAATTTAATATTAGTAATATTATAATAAATGTATAATTACATACAGTGTAACAAAGACGCCTTAAAATAAAGTGTAACCAAAATCACAATTGGCCCCTATTTCTGTATAGTTTCATAACATGGATTTTTGGCTCTGGGATGCTTATGAGTTCGTATCAGACCTGTGTTTTCATCTGCATGCCTGGACAGGTACGGACCACCACAAAGAAAGAGTGGTATCAAGTGTGCTGCTTACTTATTAGAGCTTTGTTTTTGGCACTCTTTCCAAGAGGGGTGCAGTTTCACCAGAGACACTATCTCTGACCCCCGACAACCACATTCTCCGCTATGGTTAACCTCTAGTCTATCTTCTCACAGGATGTGCTGTGCTCCAGAAGCACGAATCTGACCAGTTGCCCCCGCCTGCTGACAACCTCGTGGGTTTCCTTAGTAACCAGTGACCCCACTAATGATCCTTATCAGCGGTTGCCACGGATACCAATAGCCCCCACAGCCAACTGTCCTCCAAAGCACATATTAGAGGTGAGCTCTCACGACCTCAGTTTTTACCTCGACAGCATTTAGAGTCCACACCCCTTCTCTAAAAGAGGGAGACAAACACTCTTTAAAGTAATCCACTCACTTAAATGTGTCATAGTATCGAGCTAGAATTAAACAAAATAATCAAACTGTGATTATATTTCGATTTATTCAGAAAAAGAAAAAAAAAGTGTAAGGTTTCAGTATAAATCCAACTTTTGGTCCTGCAGACTTTTAGAAAATCTCTCTTAAAACACACTTCTCACACTCTCACTAGTTTCATTAAAGATGTCCAAATATACATACATTAAATGATAATTCTGTCATTTTATTTTTCATTTTTTATCTTCTGAAAGTATTGAAAATGTCCAGCACAACTCAAAAGTTGTAATAATGTGATGAAAATTAAATTTTTTGGAAAATAATGACAGGCTCCTTTAAATTGCTAATTTCACATGTATCCTAAATACACATAATTAAATATTTTTGCACAACTACAGGTTTCCTTGAAATTATATACAAAAAAATATTTAAGTGATATATACATTTATTCCTCTTGATAAATAGCTTTCAATAAAACTTAAGTGAAGCAAAATTGTTCAGTGTGTGGGACAGTTGTAATTTGTGAAACACAAATAATTTTCAGACAAAAAATATTGAAATGCTTTATAACGTTATTTTAAAAATGAATTTTTTTTTTATGATTGATGTTCATAGACTATGGACATGGTTTAGATTAATCCAGGATTAGACCTTAGTTCAATTAGAATAATTACGTAGCTTTTATAAGCGTGTCTTAGAAAAAAGAAACATTACTAATGTCCATCTTGAGACAAAACAATGACACTGACATGTTTTAAGATATGTCAGTGCAAGTTGCTTTCAGTTAAAACATCTCAAACATGAATTTTAGTCTGGGACGAGCTTAAGCCTCGTCTTTGAAACCGGGGGTATGGCAGTTAAATGAATGAAATATAAAATATAAACATACAATTTTGCAATAATAAATGTTAATGCATGAAAAAAAAAATAGTTTTAATGTATCATTTATATACCAAGATTAAAAAAGATATCTATCAAAGACATCAAATTGAAATCATTCCATGATTTCAGGCGGAACTGAGATGACGGCTGAACTTCTGACCTTGAGGCCTGTGGTTTGATCCCCCCCCCCCCCAGGAGATGCTTACATGCATTCACAAACAAGACAAACAAAACGCACATCTGTACTCACGCTGAAGCTAAAAGACTATGTTTGCACACTGGATAATTACCTTCACAAAAGACAAGCCCTCCTCGCATCAACAAACACACAACCTTTTCCTTTCCTGTAGGGATTTGGCAGCTCTGTCGAGTTCATTTCGCGTAAGCCACGCAGGGCATCCCCTGACATCTAAGATATCTACCCATCGGCACAATGACATGGGTGGGTGTCTGCTGAATGAGCGCCCTGCAAACCCCGGGCCTCTACCTATGTGCTTTATTGTGACTTTTAAAGACAAGCTCTCTTTGATGTTTATGAGGAAAAGTGAGACAAGCATTAGGTAGCAACCCTGAGGCCTGACACTAAATCTTTACATGAGGCAATGACTCCACACAGAACAATGGCTCTTTACATTCATTATTAGAAGCCATCAGTCACTTGTTTACATTGTGTTTCTGCAGGTGAAACACGGTTTGTTGGGGATCTTTGTCAGAGGAGGGGAAACAAAGACGATAACAAGGAGTGGGATCAGGTGAATAATGTGTGTGTGTGTGTGTGTGTGTGTGTGTGTGTGTGTGTGTGTGTGTGTGTGTGTGTGTGTGTGTGTGTGTATGATGATACATGTGTTCTGTGGCCACACCCAAACACTTTAAAACATCCAAATGATCCTTACTGTCACTATTATTTTTATTTCTTTTTGTCGAAAAGTAAATGCCCCTGCATCCTTTGACGTCACATGAAGGGTTCTGACTTTATAAACATGTCAGGGAGTCTTGAAAACCTGTCAAGTTGAGGTATTAAACGACACCTGAGAGGATATAATTACTCTAAAGGTGCTAATGGGGTTTATTCTTGTGGAGAAAAACACGACAGTGGACGAAAGAATGGGTGGTGTCTTTTGCTCAGAGCAGCTTTGTTGTCGTGAAGGTGTTCATAATGGAAAAGAGACGGAATAACAGGTGTGTACACCATGTCCGTGACAATCCTTCATCCGCCAAAACAGGGGCTTTTCATCCGTATCTATGCGCGGAACAAAAAGGTCCGCTCCCTCCCAGACTGTTTGTTTTTCCTCTATAATTTGCACTGTTGGCTCAAGTCAAAAGGTGTTTTCACTAGAGAGGCAAGGAGGCAAATCTCTCTTTAAAGTGATGAAAACAGTTTACATCCAATTGTCACCAAACTTGGTGAATGAATCCAAAGTTTATTTGTAGTAGCAAATGGAGGGCGATTCCCAGGACGGAGCGGGGGAGGTCTTCCAGAGAAAAAGGTCCAAGATAGCCAAATATTATGACTGACTGCCTCCTAAATCCCAAGCCTAATTCTAAACAGATGGATATCACAGATGCATGGTATATTCGAACTGTTTCCTCTTCTCTTGTATGATCCTGACACGCATTGTTGCTAAACACGTCCTTGAGATGACTACCAGAACTGATAAAACGAGTTGTTTGCCATATTCAAGCATGTTCGAGACAATAGATTTCATTCACCCGCATTATGTCGTCTGTTATGAAACAGCTTGGCCTCGGAAATCAGATATTGTTGTTATCTTACTTTCCTTTTCCTCTTATTGTGATCACTACATTGGACTGATTCAACTTTTGACTTTGTGTCATTATTCTGCACACTGCTCAGATCTGATTGTTGTATAAACAAGAAGGCAAAAGAGCTGTATGTATAATAAGCAACACAGCCTGAAGTTAAATGAAACATCATTGATTGAAAGCAAGGAGACTTTCTGGTATGGTATCTATAAACAATCTCCTCCAAGACAGACCGGTACACTGTAAAAAAAAACAATTGCTGATTTACATTTTTTAAAGTACAATCATTTTTTACAGTGAGAGAGTTGATGAGAGAAAAGATCATACAACATGTTGAGGACTGCAGACACGAAAATGATTGGTTTATCATAAAATGATTATTATCAATACAAACAAACTATTTATTTTTCACTGGATAACAATCATCAGGCCATCATTTGAGTACTTCTGTGACTGTAAAAAACATTAAGAAAGTCTGAAAATCATCTAAACAAGTTATTGAAAGTAAAAAAAATTCTTAAAAACTGTTAAAATATAATAATAATAGTTTTTTTTTTTTTATAATTATTACTTTATATTTATATATATAATAGCTCAAAGCTGGTATATTACATACGCATAAACACACATATACACACACACACACACACACACATATTCAATTATTATTGGTATTTTGTTGCCTGTGTTAGTTTGTTTGTTTTACCAGTATGTACTTCCACATTTCAACAGTGTCATTAAGTCATGACAAACGTCTGGAAAGCTGCATGCTGCTCTGAGCCCTTTCCTCTGTTTAGAAAGAAAAACTCCTGTCCTCGGTAATGAGAGGGCTAATTCATCATGTGTCAGTGAACTGGTTCCTCACCACAAGGTGCAGGTAAGGAATGTGGGAGAGAACGCTCTCTCTCTCCGTCTTATCTCTCTTTTAGCACGTCTTCATTTCTGTTGAGTGCTACATGATAACCTAAACTTTGCCCAAAGTTTGTACACATTCCAAAGAGCTTTTTTGAGCACCATGACACCTCTATTGTACACAATCAGCAAAATAGGCGGTCAAATGTCAAACTGTTCTGATGGGATGTTTTGTAAATACTGTGCGATAATGACTTTAAATACTCGCAGACAACACTTTTACAAGGGGGTACTTTTTACGTGCAACGAGAGGCTTTCTGCAGACACCCGGGGGCTAAACTTGTCACAGAGGAGTAATAAGTCTCTTAGTTCAGCCTTGGCACTTGACAATGTTGCTGCTGCATTGAATTACAAACAGCCCATGGACAAGTCCATCTCCTCTTCAGGGATATTTAATCTGGTGATAAATTGTTTTGGAATTTGAGGCCTCATTGAACAGGCAGTTTTTTTTTTTGTTCCCAGGCAGGTTCGTCTCCTTGTCTGCCCCGGTGGAGTATGCTGATATGACAGTTTGCTCATCTTTCAACTTTTAACCCATTTAAAACAACAAAGCAGGGACTGAAATGAATTAATCTGGGTTCATAATTGAACGCAATGAGACACCACCCAAAAGCCTGCAAGAAAGAACTAAATGTGAAGGCTGTTGTGACAGTTTGCACCAAATGCAGCAAAAACAAAATATCGACAGAGGGGGAGTAAAGGCAAAACAGTTCCAGTAGCTCCGGTATATCTATTGTGTGAAGGTAAAGAACTATGGTTTCAAATGTACTATACAGTTATCTAAAACGATAATATATTAAGGTCCTGATTCTGGAAGCTCATTGGTCAATTCAGCATTCCAGCCATGTCATATTCCACAACACTGTAACAGTTTTTACCTGTTTACCATTTTTCCCAATTTGAATCTGTTAATTTTAATGAAAATGTTAAAATAACATTTTAATGAACATTTATGTCCTTATGTGCTTTCAAATCGATTAATCACAATTAATCACATCTAACATAAGTTTTTGTTCACATATCTGTGTATGTGTGTGTGTGTGTGTTTATATACACACACACACACACACATATATATATATGCATATACAGTATATACATATGTGTGTATAGATTATACACTCACACATATATATATAAATATAATAATACACACATATTATGTAAACAAAAACTTTTATGTTAGATGAGATTAATCGCATTTATTTTATAATGGTGTTGTTAGGCACGAAGCACAGCAGACTGTATTGCTTAAATATATGCTGCAGAGTGAAATCTACCAAATGAAATATTTTCATGTAAATATAGGGTCAAAGATGATAACATCACTATACTCACTACAAAGCTGAAGAAAAGCATTAAAATGTCACTCAGATTTGCTCTAAACACAGATGGAATAGAGGAGTGATGCAGAGAGGAATTCATTAGGCGTGAATGGAGGGAAGGTCCTGTGGTTAAAGGTTTTTAATTGTAAAGGAACGGATATGGGCTATCTGCCAAATGTTAACTATGCTTGCATTACAATGGCAGCAGTTTATTGATAATACTGATCTATAATAATTTTATACATTTTCAATTTAATAATATAAAAAATATTTTTAAATATAAAGGGGTAGTTAATTCAAAACCGAAAATCCCTTCATCATTTACTCACTTTCAAGCCGTTTCAAACCTGTATGACATTCTTTAAAAGACAAAAGAAGATATTTTTAAAAGTTCTTGGTGGGTTATTAAAATGTAACATTGGGGTCTATGTGGCTTTGGTGACAAAATTTTATTTTCAATTTTATATGAACAATGACTTTAGTAAAACAATGCTGTAATTTGTTCAAAAGAACAGAAATGTATTTTAGAATAACACCAGTGAGATTTTTTTTTAATTAAATAAACAAGATTGAAGATTTAATTTGTAAATGCACATTGCTTTATGGAGAAAGACTGCTGATGGTTCATATTTACAGCAGTTTAACAGTTTGCAACTGAGAATCCTGTTTAAACGCTACACTTGAGGGTCACAGTTTAATGACAGCAATGGAAAGCATATGATATAAAATCCTCTTTAAATGACTGCCGCACATTTTATCTCATTATTGGAGAGGCATCTAAAGACCTTGGCTAATTTACAGTGTGGCTTCTGGTGTATTTTATAATTTGTTATTGGACAAATTGGTAGTCCTTTGTCCTCATTGGCTGCGTGTCAAAGTTGTAGCTCCTTGGTTGTGTGGATGAGTAATTCTTTGAGTTTGAAAACAGATGTCAAAACACTAACAATGGCATGACACAGTTTGCTATCCTTTTAAGCCAGCCTGACTGCTTGCACTGAAAGCATTTGGCAAACTTTGCGAAGAGCAGGCACAGGAGAGAGGATGCTGTGCTTTTACAAGCCTACTTTAGCGGCTTTCGAAATACTTGGCATTTACACTGGCATTTAGACTTATATATTTATTTCGCTCTTGTGCAATAACATTCTGTGCAGGATGCAAATTTTGTTAGTTCTTGCGAAGCCATGACATTTTAAAATGTGAAATAAATTGATATGGTCCAATTAAATTGTAACTGTTAAAGGAAATATCCAGCCTTCACCGGTGCCCAAATTGCTCTGTGCTTTGCATTTCTATTTAATTACGGTAGCAAGAGTGTTAGGCGATAACAGTGAGATCTCTCTCATGCCTCTTTGTAACGCTTTGAACATTGAAATTGTGTCTGGGGGAAGACGATGCCTCTAAAAAGCCTCATACTGCTGAGCAGAAAAGCACGCCGGGGCCACCTGGAACGCGAGAGTTCAGGCAAGTGACCGCAGAATGTATTCCATGTCGTGTTATGGATCTCAAACACCCGGCTACAAAAAAAGAAAAGAAAAGAACACTAAATTGCCAGAAAGTAGAGAGATTTCATACATTCAGAGAGTTTGGAGGTGACCTTGCTTATTTGGCACATGTGTGTACCTGCCTGCACTCACAGACATGCTGACAGAAGGAATAAGACTCGGAGGGAAAAGAAGCGAACCCTCAGACAAACAGCGGCGGCGCTTTTCAGAATAGCAATGAAGCATCCAGAAAGTGAGTTCCGCCCAACCGTTCCTTTCCCCTTCGAGACAGGAACCCAGATTCGGAGAGAAATACAGCCCCTAATGTGTGTCACATCATTTCTTTGACACGCAGGTGGATATGATAAAAAAAAAGAAAACTCTTTTGTAAGTGTCAGGGTTCATAATAGCCTGCAGTGGATGCTTTAGATGAAAGATTTGGCTGAATAGGAGTGGCGTTTGAAGAGGATGCTCTTAAAAGGAAAGCCTACAGGGGAATATGTACAGATCTCTTACTAATACCTGTTACCTTTGGGAGAGGGGTTGAAGAGAGGATAGAGAATGAAGGGAGACACACGAGCATTCATCGGAGAATTGACACACATTTCACCTGCAGGAATTGTCACTCTGTCTAATGCACCGTCTCTCCTGCTCAAAAATACAAGAGATTCACTTGCAACTATCTGGCGAGGCTTTCAGAAGCCGGAAAAGCAAGAGATTTGATGTCTGGTGTTAAGAGGCCGGCAGTGCTTCCAAATTAGCAGGGATGTGCTAATTTTTCAGGAAAAAAATAATTTACAACAGTCTCATTATACTTATCCTTGTCATTCAATGCTGTATGGATTTCGTTCATCTGTTGAACACAAAATACTACGTTTTGAAAATTGCCTCAATGGGGGTCCAAAACAACACTGCGGATTCCACTGACTTTTGTACAAAAAATATACATATTTTTAAAAAAATATCTTATTTTGTGTTACACAGAACAAAGAAAGTCATACAGGTTTGATTAAACGGGGATGACAGAACTATGCCTTTAAGTTAAGCAAAATGTAGCACTTCAAAAAAAATATCATGGTAAGCAAATGCATGCCATCGAGTCAAATAACAAAAGTCAAAGAAAGTTCTGAGAGAAAGCTGCAGCAAATCATCAACAAACAAATTAGATTTCACGCAGAAAAAAAAACATGCCCTTTATCTATGTATGCTTTCAGAGTGTAGTTAAAAACAAACACACAATGTGTAATCAAAAGCATCTAACTTTGTGCCAGAAGTCACAACGATCTTTATTATTAACATCATTCCACCAACCACCTGAAACACATACCATGTGTTTTCCAAAGTTTAAAATTGAAGCCTAACAATAAAATGCAAGTCAATTAAACAAGTCTGCCTGCCGCAGCTGATATAAACAAGGCAAATGTTTTGTCTTTCTGTAATTACCAGATGTTTATGATACCTGCTGTAGTTGTCTTGTGTCAAATTCATAATCAAATATTGCTGGCACAGTAATATTTAGAAAACAGCTTGACACCTTTTGATTCGTCTTGAAGATAATGGTTGTGATTAATTGCCGTTCTATCTTTTTTCCCCCCCTGCTTCTTTTCCTTTGTTGTTTTGATAGTCTCAGACAGCTGTCCCGATACAATGGGGAATTATTACTTCATTTGTAAAACGCTGTGAGGGTTTGTCATTGGTGGAGTGATACATAACACCTTGTGTTACAGGCTGTTGTAAAGTGTGTCCCCATTAGGGCAAAATGGCCTCTGTGGAAGAATTACACCTTCCTTACACCTGCTGCCAAGACTTTTATTTTGCTTACGACAGACAACATCCTGGTTATGAGTACCATGAATATTTGGGCTCTATCTTACTTTGTTCCCATCAAAACATCATGAGCACTCCCATGCACCTCGGAGAGCTATGGAGAATTAAGAACATCAGCTCAAAGAGACAGACAGACAGGGTGAGAGAGAAAGAAGAAGAAGAAGAAGAAAAAAAGAGGGGAAAAAAATTACAGTCTGAGGTGATGCAAATGATATCCTTAGTGTCTCTTCCCCAAAGCTCCTACCAGCACACTGACAGCTGATGCCAGGATTAAACAAAAAGATCAGGAACTTATGACTAATAGCTCAAAGCAATCATCTCTCATTATTTCAATTACATGGGTAAATGCATGCAATCATGGATCAAATTGCTGCTCTAGAGGGTCCTTTCAGCCACACGTCTGTTAGCAACAACAACAAAAAAAAAAGACAAAACGTGCAAATATTTGCATTTATTTGCCTTATAAAAATACATCTTTGTTTGAAAAGTAGAACCATTCTGCACCTGCAGTTTGCGCATTTTAAATAATACGAAAAGCACAACATTGTGAAGCTAGGCGGCCAGCAAGGAATTTTTTCGCACCACTGCTGTCTTAAGTGGAGAATTCGTAAAAGCTGCCCAAACTGCCCCTGCATGTGGCTTTGAATGTATCAGGGCTGGGTGATTCTGGGGTCCTCGCAAAGCTCCTGATTGATGACTCAGTGACTGAGAGAAAATTGTCTCCTATGCATAATTCATGAGGCTATCTATTTGCCCTTAAAGTAGCTGACAGGAAAGTTTCAGACTGTCTGCTCACAATCAACTTTCAAATCACTTATAAGCGGAATATCAAAAATAGACGAGTGAGGCCAGGAACGGGGGTTAGGGACCCTTTCTTGCCTGAGATATTCAAAGAGCAAAGATCAGTCTTTTACCTTTATGTGAGTGACAGGTGAAATGCTTTATGGATGATTCCACACAGCCGTTGAAATCTGGCTTTGTAAATGCAGGGGTATTTATACAATAATGTTCCCATACAGAGGCAGATGTAAAGGAAAGCAGATGCTATTTCCACCCTATGTAAATACTAACATTCACTACTTGCTTTATATCTGGTAACATGCTACTATAAAATAGTATATTCAACACATAGAGTAATGAGTGTAAAACATGGAATAATAACTAACTATAATTATCCTATATATTATTAGTATTTTCTTTAGTATTTAATAATATAATAGTATGTTTTCTATAACTAATTTTGTTTCACACTATACATTTAATTGTACTATATAGCTATTGGCCTCTCGAAGAACTACCACTTTAAGAGCTAAACACGATATATCCAGTATTTCTCAATCATCTCTTCTGCAGACTTAGTCTTATAAGCATGAACTGCTTTCTCAGAAGTATTTTTTTTAATTAACACTAGCTATCAAAAGTTTAGAGTCAGTATACATTTTATTTTTAATCAAAACTTCTATTCAGCAAGGATGCCTTGAACTGAAAGTCTTTTACATTGTAACAAAAATAAATTATTTAAAATAAATGCTGTTTATTAATCAAAGAATCCTGAAAAGGTATCACGGTTGATACAATTGATAATAAGAATATGTATTATTATAAAAATACTTTTTTTCTGCTTACACTATGTTATTATGCTATATATAAATGTATATGTACACACATACACTATAGATTGTACGCCAACTATATAAATTGTAGAAAAAATAAGAATTATATATTTTATCATATAATTAATTTATATATAATAGTTAATATTATATAATTTAATAAAAAAATAATATAATTAAAATACTACTAAAATAAATAAAAATGCACTATTGTAATAGTTCAGATCAGAACTTATTTTTTTCAGAACTTATCTGTTTTCATATTTATAAAGCACATTTAAAACAGCCTCAAGACGGACCAAAGTGCTGTACAAGAGCAAAGTAAACAAATACAAACATTTAAAACATACCAAAGAGCAACATTAACATGTATTAAAAGCTTTAGTTACCAGATCTTAAACTTCTGGGAGGGTTGAAGTGACACAATAGATCAGAGAGGTAGTTAGGAGCAAGGTTATGTAAGCATTTGTACACAAATAGGAGAATTTTAAAGTCAATCCTAAATTGGACTGGAAGCCAATGAAGAGCTCATAAAATGGGAGTGGTATAATCATTTTTGCGACCATTCTCTTCGAGTGTTTTGAACCAGTTGAAGACAAGCTACCTGGGACTTGGAAATACCACAGTACAATGAACTGCAATCATCCAAACGTGAGGTTATAAAAGCATGAATAGCTACAGTATCTCAAGATACAACAGACAGAAAATGTTTAATTTTAGATAGTAAGCCAAGCTGAAAAAAGCTATTGGCAACAACGGAGGACACGTTTGTCTAATGTTAACCAACTGTCTAGAAAAACAATACTAAACAAAAATGAAATAGTAAAAAACTGGATTCAAAATCAGATTGCCAATTTAAAAGCAAAAGGTACATTCTTTACTTGATGGTTTTGAAAGTTTTGTAGTTTGGTTTAGACTGTTAGCATGCAAATAGCTGTGCTGTTTGGCCAGTGGTATTTCCCCTTAATGCAAATAGTACTCTGCAATCTAAAAGAAATAGGCATTGTCATAGCACACTATAACAAAAAGTGTATAATATTGTTTCGAAGATCTTGGGCACATGTTAACAGGATAGCAAAAGTCTCATCTTCCCCAAGGCGATTGTGTGAACGAATCTGTGATAATACTCGACACCATGTTTGCAGACAAAGAGGGGACAGAGGAGCCTGTGACATTTCAAAAACTTATGTAAGAGACTCTGTAAATCTATTTTGTATTGACTGGGTGCCACGGCCCTGGCCCCTGTGTAACTGAACTCTGCCTTTGTCCCTCTGTCTCACTGACTCCAGAGGACCAAGTGGCCTGACAGAATTCCTGCCCTGTCCACCGAAATCCCAGAGAGGGGGGTGGTTATAGTGGTCAGACCCGTCCCAGTTCACTCTTCCCATCCTGTGCTTCAGCTCTTCCTGCACAGGCTCCATCGACCTGTCACAGACATCAGTGAGATTGACTGCAGGGGCAGATGCGCAGTTTTAACAGGTAACCTGATCCAGCAGTCCCATCTGGCCGCCAGCCTTCCTCAATTCACACTTCACCCAAAGAACACATCAAAAGATGCACACTCTTTGTGCCGTGCAGAAACATTGTATCATACATTATACATAAAGTATTCAAGTGTTTTCCGAGCAAGTTTACCCTCCGTTTGTGTGAATAAAGCACAATGTAAGCTGATATATGGCATCATAATCAGGCTTAAATTGAACCCTAGAGGGACGGCCACAGTTATGCAGATCAGCAGCTTATGGATAATCATTAATTATCTTGATTTTTTTTGTCTACTTTTCTTTTGCAGAGGGGATGTTGAAATGCATGCATTGTGTCTTCAGTGTGGTGCTTGATTTCTAATAAGAATTGCAATTAGAAGAGGCTGTGAATGCTCCAGGAGGACGTAGGCTTCTCAGACAGATGGAGTGTTTAATTGCACAAAGCCTGAGAAGCTTGTCCCCTGCCCTGAAAGGGGGTGGGGGGTGAGCGGAGATGAAGTGATTTTTTTTTTTTTTCGATGATGATGATGATTGTTTTTTCACAGGCCACCTCTTGGTTATGGGGACAGTGCAGGGAAATCTGAGAGAGTGGTGCCCTATGGAGTTACTTGCAAGCACGGACAGATCATCACCCCCTCCACTGCCGATCAATGCCAGACTCATCGTCCGCCTGTCATTGGCTCTGGTAATGACTTATTTCCTACCAAAATATTTTGTCAAGCGTCAGTGCAGCGAGTCCCCACTCTCGGCATCGGCACCTTGGAGATCTATCGGCAACCTCACTATCATCTTCCGAGAGAGGGGAGGACATTTTTGTCAAACCTCCCACCTCTTTAACAAACACAGCCACAACCCGTGTTTTCGAGATACTGCTCATACCAAACGCCCTAGTACTCTGATATCTTCTTACGAGCATGAATGAGGAAGGAGCTCTAAAGTGAGAAGAAAATAGAAAAGCCAAATAAGAGCTATGCAAATTATAAAACATTGTTCGGGTTGTTCACAGTAAACAACTGTCTGAAATAAAAGTGTTAAATTGAACAATTTAGTTACTGCAAAGCATTTTAATTTTCATCAAAAAAAAAAAAATCTAAGCACATAAAAAAATACATACTACTGCATATTTTTCAATTACTTCTCTTTTTAACTGAATCACATAATCTACATACAACTGAAGATATTGCTCCATTATATGTACTACCGTTCAAAAGTTTGTGGTTAGTAGAATTTTTTATTATTATAACTTTTATTCAGCATGGATGCACTGACTTCTATTCATCAAAGAATTCTGAAAAAAAAAAAACACCTATCATGGTTTCCATAATAATACATGTTTCTTGAGCCCCAAAATCAACATATTAGAAAGATTTTTTTAAGGATCATGTCACACTGAAGATTTGAGCAATGACTGCTGAAAATTCAGCTTTGCCATTACAGGAATAAATTACTTAAAATATATGAACCGAAAACAGTTATTTGAAATTGCAATAATGTTTCACAAAATATATATTTTTCTGATCAAATAAATGCAGCCTTGTTGAGCATGAGAGACTTCTTTCAAAAACATTAAATAAATCTTACTGACCCCAAACTTTTGAGCAGTAATGTAGTTTTGATGTATTTAGCTACTTTGTACAATAGTATCTTGTCAAGATATCAAGATACACCATAAGCCATATTCAATCTTACAAACACTAACAAAAAGTATGAGATGCAAGTAACATCTCTTGCATCATTTTACTCAATTGTAGGGAATGTCAATAACATATTTATCCAAAATTAACATTACACACAGTACACTAAAGCGCTTAATAGATGTGTAATATTTAAGTGCTAAATAAATAGAAAACTACAGAATCAAGTTGTTTTCTGTATTTGCAACACACTTACAAATAAGCATGTGCAGCACACATAATAACCAATGATTGTATCTGTGCATTATCATTTGAATAATAAGATCATAATCAATGGTGATTCTAATTATCTAATCAGTTTCTCTGCCTGCATCCAGTTGACGTGAGATGTGAGCACAAAACAGACTCATTTCCACTGACAGCAAGCACTCCATCTAATGGTGGAGACGGGACACAGCACAACGAGGCCCAGAGTCCGCCTACCGCCCTCTTAAACATAACCAGGCCTCTGTAGAGCCGGCCGAAGTCCCGCCTAGCCAATCCTCCCTAAGACGACAGGTCACCACCACACTCAAGAGTGTTTGACTGACATCTGCTTTTGTTATTGTTTGTGCTGGGGTAAAATTAATATTTGTTTGCATGTGGGCAGCATGAATGGCAATGCAAGGAGCCAAGGGACCCGAGGCACACTCAACGGCAAGCAGGAAGCCTTTAATGAAGGAGCCGGCTCCATTACGTAACCCCTTGGAACCGAGGCCTCGCTTCCTGAAACACTTAGCCATATCAGTGTTGTTTAGGAGTTAGCGTATGCTGCCAAGGGCCCATCGGATGGATGTGCGGCAGCAGACTCTGACATTTAGCAGGGAAGGGCTAATTATGAAAACAGGGCGGTGGGTGAGAGGGAGCTTCAATCCTGCAGCTAATGGACATACATATGCCACTTAGCTTCTGATCTCAGGTCATGGAGTAAATAGAGATAAAATAGCTTGTGCTAGTTGGCAAAGCATTTGAATAATGCAAGATAATTTCAGGCTCTCTGTTTCCATTTCCTCAGCGGTTTCTGAAAAGCACAACACAAACAAATCAAGATGTGGTGTAGTAACATTGCTGTCTGATCTCAGATTTAAACAGGAGGGAGAGAGAGAGAGAGGGGAAGAGAGAGAGGGAAAAGGGAGAGTGAGAGGGAGAAAGGGAAACTCTAGATCCAAGCGAGCAAATCAACTTGAGTCAAGTTGAATAGGCGAGTCAGCGATCGTGGTCACCATGTCAGGTCATACAGATACGCCTCCCAAGCGACACTGGAGAACCGGCCGATAACCAAATCCACGGCGCAGCGTTGCATTATAGGATTAAGGAGGGATTGCCGGGCCCCCGGTTTTCATCGTATATCAATGTGGCGATTGCCCTAAGCTGCTTGGAGGTGCCTCCGAGACTCACTTTAACACATGGGACTTCCTCAAGTGATCAGCCGAAGCTATCCATGCAATCTCACCTCAGAGACCTGACATTCCTTTGGTCTACTTGAGTGCGAAGGGCAGATTGGGACAAAGCAGCTCTCAGTCCGCTTATTCAGGCGGCGGTGGCTGAAGTCTGGCTGTTGACAGACGGTCCACCTCAAGTGCCCGCAGCCCAAATGCTTGGACGTGTCTTCTGAATGCAAGGCTGTGACATAGGAAGACATATTGGAAGAGTTATAGAACGCATCATCGTAGGCTCAGTGTGAGAAATAGTATCATTTAATATTATTAGTAGGTTTGATTCAAGCACTTGAGGGGATCCAGACTTTGTTTATGATGAGTATTCAGTCCAGCAGTCAGCACAGTTGAAATGTGTACTGGACAAGATGAATATCTCGGGATTCTCAAATATCCTGTATCACCTCTTGATCTTGAAATAAGCATTAACAATTTAAGCACAGGGGAAACCAAAGGTGTAGATAGGAAGGAAAACATACGTCCCCCCTCTACAATATCTCTCTAAAAGGCATGGAGGCCAGCGATACGTTGTTACTGCAGCCTACTTTAACTCTCTAAGCAATTTCCCCCAATGCCAAACCCGTGAAACCCGTATGGCCACAGGAACTCACATGAGACCGAATGTTGTCCCTCCATGTAAAAAGGTAGACACTTAAGCTTTAATGTAAACAGTCATCATTTATTTAGGCAGGCCATCTCTTAAACATGAATGGGTAAATGTTTTGAATACCGGGGGCTTTAGTTCTTAGCAGGGGCCAAATGTCTCCCCTTGACCTTGCAAATTCATGCAGTGGGACACACAAACACTTACATGTCATTCGGCACCCTGATTTTATGCCTGATGGAAAATGGTGGTGATGACAGTTCGTTACGAACAGCCTCCCTCCCATCCGACTTTCAAAAACACACATAGGCAACATTAAAGGGCAACACTGAGAAAAAAAAAGACTGAAATTCTTCATTGATCTCTCGAGAGCAGGAAAAATGGACAATGGAAAACGTGCACTGAAGGAATTGAGATATTTTTCCCAGTCAGACGAGAGAGAGTTGTGTAGGAGCGGGAACGGTGTTTGTCTATGTATGTTTACAACAACTGTCATTAAAGGCACAAGAAACAAGATGGCTAATGTAAGGCGATCCTTCCCCCTAGCTAAATAATTCATACCAGCTGCAAGGAAGAGAGAGCAGCGCATATTCTTCCTTCCTCACCGCTTGCCTCTCTCACCCTTCTCTAAGGGTCTCTTGGGATGGATGAGTTTCGTTCCTGGTCGCGATGAGTAGCCATTTACCGCCTGATCCGTGCTCCTTAGGCCCGTCTCTCTTCCTGTCTCCTGAAACCAAATTTGCTCATTTCAGTCACCTCAAAGCAGACTTGTATGTATATATTTTCAGGGAAATTTGATTGTCGGTATGGATTTTTCAATCGTTCTGCAGATCGGGTTTAGAAATATGTAAACTGTTGTGTTATTTCATCAGGCCCGGCAGAGGAACACATACCTTAGATACTGAACATCCAATACGGTGGAGTGATCTTTAAGCAAGACAACTCGGACATAAGTAGATTAAAAAAGCCATAATGGGGAAACAAGTGCCCATTTCAAGTGCAGCCGAAGGAAATTTAAGACCTGGAAAGTTGCATTATAAATTTTTGATCGAATTGACGATATTTTCACACTGGCTAAAGCCTGAAACCTGAACCTATATTTTCTGTCTTTGGTTTCCTTTCTTGAAGAACCCTTAATGTGCCAAAGATGTACTACTTAAGCTCGGGTTACTGTTGTTGGTTTGTACGTTAATGTCTAAAAAGTTCAGATTGGATTTGAATCGACCAATATGCATTAAAACCACTGTTCTTTAATCAAAATCTTATATGATCTGAAAGGGAATGTAACAAAAGCTTCCCATTCTTTCAACATCCTGCTCTTTTTGGCCTGTCTAATCCAGTTGAGGTCTGAATGTGGTCTTTCTTTTCTTACAGCAGTGGAGGGTTACTCCAGGAGATGGACAAATTAGCCCACACCTCCATTCCTGAGCGGGGCTATTGTATATCGCTGCAGTCTGTTCATGGAGTGGAGGGACCTGCACAACGAGCCAAACTTTGTTGAATAGTCTCGCTCACTCCATTTTCAAAGCTGAATTTCAATCTGTGGGTTTATTCCAGCTTTCATTTTATTTATTTAAACATTCTGAGTTCACCTAAATTAGATATTTGGGTCTGTCGACCTTTAATACAGGTCAAATATTATAAAATACTAGAATGTTTTTTTTTCCACTAGTCACAAGCATCAACGTATTTGGTTTGTGGTTGGAAAAATGTTGCTAATGCTCACCAAAGCTATATTTATTTGATCAAAATTACAGTGCACACATTAATATTGTACAATTTAAAATAACAGTTTTTTAATATATTTCAAAATGTAATTTATTCCTGTGATGGCCAAGCTGAATTTTCAGCAGCCATTATGCCAGTCTTCAGTGTCACGTGATCATTCAGAAATCATTCTAATATGCTGCAAATTATGTTCAAGAATTTTTTATTTATTATTATCAATGTAAAAAAAGAAAAGAAAATTGTGCTGCTTAATAAGCTTTTGTAACATTATAAATGTCTTTACTGTCACTTTGATTAATTTAATGCCTTGTTGAATAAAATTATTCAAATCTTTAAAGAAATTCTTACATTTGAATAGTATTTACTAAAAACAATTTACAGAATAAAACAAAATCGCCAACGATGACAGTATCATTATTCTTAGCCTGATTCAAATATTAACATCATTTATGTAAATTGCATTTCCTAATAAAATACTGCAGGCACAATTTCAAACAAAAAATATCTAATAAACAGTACCTCAATGAATTGATGTAAATAGCTCTCTACTCTTAAGATATGGTGGATCAATATTTTAAAATGTTCTCCCTTGGAATCTCCCATCAATTAAGATGCCTCTGAACAGCACTTCATTTTCATAATTCAGCTGCCCCGACTTGAACCGTAGACAATGTTGTCGTCGGTCGGGTCTCCGTTGGAATAAATGTCTCATCCTACAACAGATGTGACTGAAATCGTATTGGGAACACTTTGTGCATTAAGCTCTGAATTCTAAATGAACTTGGGCCTCAGTGATCCAACCCAAGCAGACACTTAAAAACTGACACACAGGAACCCGGAGAAATTACTTAAAGGATCGGTTACGTCTAAAATGATGGAATCAATAACAATATTTTCCCTCGGACCCCATCGCACTGATAAGCAAAATCCTCACTTAAAAGCCACATTAAACTTTAATCGGGTGCAGTTTGCTCTGGTGACTGGTAATATCTGGACAGCTGTCTTCTGCCGTGTTTAAAGCTTGTTTCCTTTGCCATTTCAGTGTCATCTACTAATTGCCTTTTCTTTGGGATACATGATCCTACTGAATTCAATCATAGAAGTATGAAACAGGGAAAGGCTTTTTAGGGGGTCGGGTCAGAAGAAAACAACAGAGTCTGAGATGCTCTCTGAGCCTTGGCTACATTTGTCGGCTCCATCCCAAGTGACTTCATTTAGCATCTGATTTCAGGCCATCAAGGGATGGCTATTTGTTTATTGGCTTTTTCTGCATGTGTGAAATCTTAACACAACCCATCTTGGAGCAGGTCCTTGCTTCTTCTTGTCTACTTGCCAATTTTCCACCTACACACAGAACATGCTTTACATTTTTTTTCCCCTTTTTTCACATTTAACCAATTTTGTAAAATATGAGGAATTTATATTTAATTTATGCTCCAATTTATCTTCTACCGAAGAAAAAAAAGGCTTCATGTATTTGTATTTTCCTCCTCATGCGCGGCTGAACTATGGAAAGCCGCATCATCCGTCACCATACATTTGTATTTCAAGTACAATAAATTACTCCCATTGTTGTTTATGACAGATTGTATGTGAGAATCCCCCTGATGTCTGAAGGGAGAAAGGTGCTAGCTGGCTTATGGAGGCCCCAATCAGTATTTACTTGAAAAGAGAAACTTAGAAGAGGTCGATTTTAGCATCTCCTTCAGGTCTGGGACCAATGCAGGCTGTGATTTCACAAGTGCAACCCAAGCAATCACCGCTATCCCCTGATTGCTTGGCCTGCGTCTCTGAGGATGCTAGGAGCGAAAGATTATCTTTCCCCCAAACTTCCTCTGATTGCCGACTTTGAGAGGCATGCCTTCATCAGCCAACACGCCGACAGAAACCTCACCGTCACAATGTAGTATTTATTAAAGACAGGGCTATTTATGCCGATCAATACATTTAATTTCTGTCTGTGCCTTTTCCTGTCAAAGGGTAGAAAGGCTTTCACAAAAGATATTATCGATTAGCTTAAGCTTAAACAATTTTAACAAAGGTTTTGAAATGGGTTTATTTATGCATAGCTGAAACATAAATAATGAGTCAATGTAAAATAAATATAATGTATTTATCACACTACATTAATTTGAATTAAAAATATTTGTATTTTGTTATATATTAGGTTATGCAACTGATCAACATTTACACTTACTTTTGACTTAGCTATAGTGCAATTTAAATCGGACAATTCTGACCAATTTCTAAAAGTATTTTTTTTCTTCTAAGAGTAAAAGTATTTAATTCAATTAATAAGAGGATGGGGGAAATATGAGCCAAAAAGCTGCATGCATAATAAAAATCAAACAAATAGCAAAATAATGTTTAAAAACTGACTTAGGTTAAATAAGTATCTGACAGCAGGAAATTTCACTGTCAGCATTTATACAAATAAAATGTTAATAAAATGAACACATATGTTCATTTTTAAATGTGCTATTTAAATGATTCATTACTAAATGTATTTTTTTTAAATAATAGTGTCAATTGTGTTGGTAAATGTTCATCTTGTTGTGTACATTTATTAGAGTATTTACATTTTTAGCATATAGCTAATGTCTTTGGGATAGTGTTGAACCAAATGATATAATAAACATAAAACAGAATGTCATAGGAGTTCAAAGCTTTAAAATATGGAAAAATTCTGAACTGTGCTCAGAGGTTTCTATAGAGAAAACATTATTTAGTTAAAAAAGTCCCCCAGCAGTAAATGGCATCTCAGAGCAAGTAGGTCTAATTGGGCTTCAAAACTTCAAGAGGCACCATGAGAACCTGTCTATTTATACTCCTTTCTTAACTGTAGCCATGGAGCAGGTTTGATGTATTGCCTTCCCTGTCTAACTCTTCACTGCCTCTCCAGCTCTAGCCAAGTATGAAGATCTTATCTGCTGCTGGTTCCATTGCCCCTGGCCTTTTCAGACCAGCACAGCTTAGTTTACGGAAATCTCTTTTGATACAAACCAGTGTATCAGTGTGCAAAAGGGAAAATGTTGTTCTGACTACAAGGAAAAGACGCACAACCTTCCAGATAATGCATTCTACTAGCTACTTATCTTTGTGACTTTTAATAAATGGAGCAAATACGCATCATTCAGTTTTACCTATTGATTCTTAAGAAGGCATCTGTCGTTAGATGTCATACGTCTGAGTTAAAGACTACAAACAGCTCCCCTGTGGTGAAACTACTTCCTCTTTGACCATCCAAGAACTGCTTACAAAAAGCATCTGCATAGCTGGTCCCACCTGGTTTAACCCCAACCGGAACTTATCAATTCATCTCTCTCAGAACAGCTCAAGTGGGGGTAATCCTCCCATTGAACTGTTTCAACTTCTCTGCCCATAGACAAAGGATGGGTAAAGGGCTTGTTGGGATTGTCTTGTTTGGGTAGAGGATCTTCAAGAGGCTTAAGGCCAAATGCTTGTAGATGCCATTTGTCTCTCTGCACGTCCAATAATCCTGACTTTTGTCAGGTCATTAGAGCTCATGAGGACCAAACTCAAGCTATGGCCTCTCTATCCCTCCTTAACCACACTTAAGGTGCGCCTTAACCCAAGTGTCTTGAGGATGTTTCACTTTCTCCAGCTGTCTGCAGAGTGTAATGGGAGCAGAGGTATGACAAATTTAGGGACCTTCTGAGGTCGGGAAGCCAGCTTACGTCACTGATTGCAATTATTTGACAATAAAATGAATAACATCAGCTGTATGTCAACAGTATGGGTTAGATGTTCTCTTTAATTTCACAGCTAATTTAAAACAGCTCTTAGGGTGCGAGCAAATTAGCATTCATAGTGGTATTAATTTTCAACATACTTAGATTGTATCACCCTTATAGCAAATGCACTATAGAAATTAGAAGAAGCTCTCTGCATGCCAGCTGTGAGGTTTTTTTTAGGATATATTCCAGTATGTCATCCAGCCAAAGCATTTCAGAGTTAGAGCTGAGAGGCAATAAAGTAATTAAAGCACCAGGGGTTCAAACATTCAATATCATTTTCCAAAATGTGTTTAATTAAAATTAATCATTGGCTGCATTATATCGCTACCTGTGGTGAAAAGTGGTACAGTGGTTCTCACTGTAGTCAATCGTTTCTTTGAAGGTTGGGATTGGAGCTAGCAACGATTTAAGATGTTGCCAAAGAGTCTGAATTACAGCAATCTATTGCAATCTCCTTCATTCCACATTTTCCATTATGATGTGTCTTTTCAGAATCAAATAATATCTCCCAGTGGGACAACATTAAATCCCCAACCCTCATCAAATTCATCAAAATGTTTCCGCAGTGCAAATTGAAATTAAAAAAATACTTAAAAAAGGGCTAATGGTTTCTTCTAGCATATTGTAAAAATTTTAAAATCTTTGAATAATTAATTGAACCAGAGCTTGAAAACCTCTTCAGTTGATATCTTAATATTTGTTTGCCCATTGGAACTTGGAGCATTAGTTGTTAAAAATTAACTTTGATAAATCTCAATCATTGGGTTTTGATCCACAAAAAAAATACACTTCCTCTATTGTGTAGTATGTGCATTTACATTGCTTTACGTTTATTTAGAAAAAAGAGGTAGAACTGATAAAACATTCATGTGAATCAACCTTCTGCACAAGTAGTAAACAATATTTATGAAATCAGTACATTTTGGGAAACGTGCTAGATCCCAGGACACAAAATACAGCAGTAAGAGTTTCATTAGCTCAATGTGAATGTGAAAAAGCTTTGAGGAAAACAGTCCAACTATTCTAGACAGAACTTGCTTGATTAAATAATGAAATCCCCCGAAGGCTTCATTTGAATTTCACACAATACTATAATTAAAACCCATATTAGTTAATACTGGCTACAGACTTGGAACTTTTCTTGCAAAATAAATCAGTATCACAGTGGCTAAAAGATCGCACTTGCCTTGTAACACACTACACTAACCAATTCAAAGAGCTATTTCACTATGATATTGAGGATAGTCAGTTTGACCTACTAATTAGTAACGAAAGTATGCACG